TTCTACCAGGATATCCAGATGACTCTGCTTCTTAATCTTTTGGAATGAAGAGCATGGGGATGTTTGAAGCTGCTTGTTAGTTTTAGTCAAAGTATTGTTTGATTTGTGGGGACAAAACCAATTTGTTTTTAAAGAAATTTTCAAACTCCACTCATCTGAACTCTTTGCAAGGACTTAAGAGGAAGACACCAAGGAGAAAAGTCTATTCAAAGGAAATTACATGCTGATGTAGCTTAAAACAAAACTTTTTTGGGGAAGTGTGTAGTACTTGCTGTATTGTTTGAATTTTCATTATTATTTTGGTATTTATAAAGTACATTCTCAATATAATTGTACAGCTTTTTTACAAAGTAGCATGTATTGACTTTATCCATTTAATGTTGCTTTAATTCCATAGTGACTGGGGCATCTAATGCTTACAGTGGCCTATATTTTGCAGTTGGATCCAGAGCTGTAATTAAGGCATTCTTTTTAATCCTTTGGGGATTTTTTTTTTCTGTAAAAGGTTAACAGATCCTATAAATTAGGCCTTATTTTGGCCTATTTTGTGTCCAAAAAAAAAAAAAATTTAGAGTTACTTGTATAAACTTTCTATGGGCTTCAGAAAAAAATGGTGATATTAACTGGAATTTGTTAATCCTTCCTTTAGAACACTTTTGGATTTGTTGATTCTGTCCATACACTGTTGCAGTCCAACTTGATCTATTATTTAACTAGCACAAAATGTGGCAATCTTCAGCAAAACAGTAGGTTGTCTGCCTGGTTTAGTGGACCCCACACATGTGATGTGTAGAATTGAGGCTGCTTTTTCCTCCTAGGGAGAGATCAGTCTAACAGATTATCTTTGCTTTCGAGGAAAGTATATGATTAGATTAATTTGTGACACTCAAATGTTTGTTGCTGTGGATGCATATGTGCTTGAGGTTAAACAGTCTATTCAGAAGGGCATATGTATTTTTCTAATGCACGAAGGTAAAATAAGGATAGTCTATATTCCGTTCATTTCAACTGCCTTAACTCAATAGAATGCCTCCGCTACTTTAAAAATCAAAGACCTGATCAGGAAAAGATTTGTCCTGTTTCTTTTAGTTCAGCTTTTTATAGATTCCATTTCAAAAGTTCATGCTTTTGTCAAAAAAAGATTTGCCTTCAAATAGGCAGTCATAACAGCTTGAAGTATTGTCCAATGGATAATGCCAGCCAAGGATGCTCTTACTGTTTTTACTGGTCAAACGAATCTTGTGTTCCCTGTAAGCCTTTAATCTGAAAATAATGCTCGATGGATCAGTAGAAATAAGTGGGGAAAAAAAATGCCTCTCTTGGATAAATGTGGTGTCAGCTGTGGACTTGGAGTGTCTGGGGACTTCTCTGGACGGTTAAATCGTGGGTTCCTTGCTTTGAACAATCAATATTAGCACAGGCTTTTGTGCTATTAATGGGGCTCAGTAGGGAATGGTTACTATTGTCAACCCTGCTGAAACATGAGACATTGCAAAAGTCTTTGTCTGCCTTCACAGGAATGAAAGAAGGACTAGTAGATGATGTGATTCTGTAGGAACTGATGAGGTGGTTGCTTCAGTAATTGTGGTAGGACTAACCTTTGTGTGTGTTAGCACACAATATTATCCTTAAACGCCTCACTTCACAGCAGGGTTTGACACACAATCTGTACCATTCAGAGGCCACTAATCCGTGTTGTCATCATTATACCTTTAGAGACCGTCAGTGCTGGTCAGAAAGAGTTGGTGTTTATCTGGATGAGTTTCCTCCATGACAGTCCTTCCTATTTCTTTGTTGATACAGGATGACATTAGAATGGATGAGGTTTCAATGGACTTCTGGAGATCAAGTCCAACCTCCCTTGCTCAAAGTAGTAAAAATTGGAACAGGTTGCTCAGGACCTTCACATCACTGCCCAGTTTTTCCATGTTTGTAATAATGATGTTCAGCAGTGTGACTGCCCTTGTTGACTCCTCAGTAACCTCTTTCAGGAAGTCATAATCAGTGCACTCCCAAAACCTTCTGGGTTGCTTGTTCTGTGTTGTATTGCTCTTCCAGGGAATAACAGGGTAGTTCATGTTACACATGAGGACCAGGTGCCTGTAAATGTGAGGCTGCTTCAGTTGTATAAACAAGGTCTCATATTTTTGTCTTGGTTGGGTGATGAGTAGCAGACACCTGCCACAGTGTCACCTGTGTTGGTCTTCCCTCTCATCCGTGACCCATAAACTCTCAATTGTTTCATTGTCCATTGCAGGGTAGAGCTCCATGCATCCCTGATGGTCTCCCAAATAAAGGGCAGCTTTCCGTCCTCACCATCCACCATGTTGATTGACAGCCGGCTGAACAGGAGCCAGCAGTATGCCCAGGGGGCCAGGATGACCAATGGCATCCTGGCTTGTATCAGGATTAGCGTGGCCAGCAGGGACAGGGGAGTGATCTTGCCCCTGTACTTGGCGCTGGTGAGGCCGCACCTCGATTCCTGTGTTCAGTTTTGGGCCCCTCACTACAAAAAGGCCATTGAATTACTTGAACATGTCCAGAGAAGGGCAACAAAGCTGGTGCAGGGTCTGGAGCATAGATCGTACGAGGAGAGGCTGAGGGAACTGGGGGTGTTTAGTTTGGAGAAGAGGAGGCTGAGGGGAGACCTTATCACCCTCTACAGCTACCTGAAAGGAAGCTGCAGAGAGCTGGGTTTGAGCCTCTTTAGCCTAGTAGAAAGCAACAGGACAAGAGGGAATGGCCTCAAGTTGCACCAGGGAAGATTTAGACTAGATATTAGGAAGTATTTCTTTCTAGAAGGAGTGGTTAGGCATTGAAATGGGCTGTCCAGGGAGGTGGTGGAGTCCCCATCCCTGGAGGTGTTCAAGAGTAGGGTCAATTTAGAGCTTAAGGATATGCTGTAGGTGGGAACTGTGCTAGGTGAACGGTTGGACTAGATGATATCCAGGGTCCTCTCCAACCTAGAAGATTCTGTGATTCATCCCAGACTGTCCTTAAAGATTGCATATCCAGCCATGGTCATGTGAGCTATGCTGCTGTGTCTCAGTGATCCCACTGAGATTGTAGTCATGCAACCTCACACAGACCACTAATTCCTCCTGCTTGGTTGCCATGCTGTGTGTGTGTTGGTGTATGGGCACTCCACAGAGGCACGCAGTGATGCTGATTTGCTAGAATAGTTATTAGAACTTCCACCGTCATACAAACAACACTATATATATGTGGTTACATTTGAAGCGGGGCCCTGGTTAGCTCTGTTTTTTTTGTAGGCAAGAGAGACCTCATAAACATCAATCTTTACCCTTTGCTTGCCAACCCAGTCTGCCACTTCCTCACTTGGCTGTGGGTTGTCATCTACCTCCTGTGATGTTGCTGGTGTCCCTCATGGATCTGCTCCAACCCTCTACCTGCCAGGAGAAGCCTTTTAGTGGAGCTGCTGCTGCATTGTACCTCCTAGGTGTTTACAGCTACTACTGCTGTTTTCTCCAAAAATTAAATCTAGCCCTGGGCATCTTATAATTCCTTAGCCTTTCCTTATTCCCCTTTCATCCTCAGAAAGCACTGTTGTTGTATGCTTTGTGCAGACTTGCGTATCTTTCTAGGGTTGTAAGAGGAGATTTACTTACCTGGTTCCCCATGGTTTCACCTGAGCGGGTCCTTTATTTAATGATAGTGCTAGTAAGAGGTGCTAGAAATCTCTGGCTGCTTATGCTATTATTGTATATTGAAATGATTTAAGAAGTTGCTGGTCAGCCTGTTCAATTTTATTCCTTTTGCTGTGCATGTCTGAATAGTCATTTCCTCACAACCAGTTCTATGCTTTGAAAGATTTCAGTTGCTTTCTCTTATAAAGACTTAATTTTTTTATTTTTTTTTTTGCCTTTCTCTGGAGGGTTATAGTGAGCTCTTGTTATTATCATCTAGGTCTTCTCCTTTTAGGCTTCTTAAAATTCCTTGGATATATTCCACTACAATCTGGATTTCAGAACAAATATTTGTATTGTGTTATACAAGGCAGTTCTTCCCTTCTGTTCTTTTCCTTGCTTATCATTCACAAACAAGGCCATACCTGGGTTTCAGTACTTCATAACAAATTTTAAGCTGACAAAGCTAAACTTGTTGCGATGTCTCACATGACTGAATATTTCACCAAGTAATTGTTAATTTTTTCCTCAGATGAGTGTTTAATTTTGTCATTGTTGGAAATTTATAGTTGCACTTTGGGTAGGCTAATGTGTATTGTTGAATAGTTTACCTACACCTAGGATATCCCCAACAGCATGTCCTTTTAACTTTTGTATCTTAATGATATATTGCTCTTTGTTTCAGAATAAGCCATTGCAAAGGACAGTTGTTTTTGTTTTTTCAAAAATGAAGAGAACTCAGAAATGAGATGCAAAGTGCCTTTTGAAACTCTTGTGTTCAAGTCTTAGTACTGATGATCTTGCTCTGTCTGAGATTGTGTGGGATGTTGGACAGAGGAGTCCGTCTTAGACTACATGCTGAGGCAGTAGGCTTGTCTTGCAGTTGCCATGGGTGGGGGAGGATTGAAAGGTTTTCCATCAGCCTTTATTTCAGTGACCTTTTCCAAGTTAGGAATAGCAGTTGTCTAGGAAAAACCTAGACAGTCATTTCTCTTCAGTGAGTCCATACAGTTTTATCTCAAGTTCTGTAAGCTGAAAAATAAATTGAAATTGAGAAGGTAATATTTCCTGTTTTCAAAATGCCATTTCTGCAAATCTTTGACTTACTGAGCTTCCCACGCAATACATACTTGGAATTTATTAAACTGCTGCATGTGAAGACTCCCATGCTTAATGCTTCCAGCAGCTTGTGTAAGTGAGGTAGAATAAAAGTTCAAAGTAATGTCAGCATGTGAAATGTTAACAAGTAAAAGCATGATAGATTCTTTAAATATTCACAGGGACTTAATTTTCATCATCTGCTTAATGCAGTGACTACATAGTTTTCACAAACTGTTTTGTTTATTCTTTCAGGCTGAAGGTTTTTGGAACGGATGTTGGAAGATGTTAGCTGTGGATACTGGGGTTGTGGAGGAGTGGTTATCAGAGTTCAAGGTAATATACTCTCAGATATTTAGCCAGTAGTGTTTGAACTGCTGCTGGAGTGGTATGCGAGTGCTTAATTGATGGAGAAAATTAAAGAAAATAGTTACCTTGGATTTTGCTGAGGTAATATGATATATGCAGATGTCTGTTTGAAAGGATTTTTTACCTTGTCCTCTTTGGGATTACATACTTCCTGATACGGAGCAGTGAAAATGTGTATCACAGATGAATGGTCTTGTTGGTTTGAGTATGAACTAGACTTGACTGTAGGTTTTGCTCCTGATCTGCTGAGATACACTGGGAATGTGTTTTCCTATCTGTATAGTGGAGTATGATCTCCTTTGAAGGACTGTGGGTAAGAAGTACTGTAAGAGCTATGAATAGTAAGTTTAAATGTACAGCTTCTGAAGGGTTGTTAAAAAGATTAGATTTTTAACCTCTTAAGTACTGGCAGAAAATCCTGCTTAGTGTTAGAGGAGAGCTGTTCATGTCAATTGGAATTTGTGTTCTTCTAGGGTTTTACTATGTCCTGTAATAATATTCACTAGCTGTGTACAGTCAGTCTTGAGAAAACTCTTTAAAGTATGCATCTGAAAACTACTGATTGTGCCTGTGAAACTCTAGGGCTTTATCTATTTTCCATGCACTGTCATTACGTTCTGTATGAAACTGCAAAACAGTAAAATGCAGTGTGTCTTCTGGCAATTTTTTAGTTCTGAAAACATGGTGATTTCTGTAGTAAGGATTTCTCTGTGAAACAAATTTTAGTTTATAGTGAGCTCTGATAAGCAGTAACTTGTAATGGAAAGTTGTTGTTGAAATAGCTATTATATTTTAATGATAAAAATATTATAACTACTAGAAAAAGCAATTTCTATTTCAGACACTGCCAGAAGCATCCATATCCAGCTATGCTACAAACTTGAAGGACAAGAGTGCTTTGATTTCATCTCTTTACAAAGTGATTCAGGAGCCACAGAGTGAAGTGAGTATATTGAATCTTTCACCTAAAATGTCTGCCATAACACCAGCAGAATAAAATAAAAACTTGGGTGCCAGTTAATTGTACTCTAACTATGTGGACTACAGAACTAGGTGAAGAGTCTCTGTCACAATGTTTGTTCTTAGCAATGACATGCTACCATGGAAACAATTCATAAATTTGGTAAGCTTGTAGATTATACTCATGGGCTTCAGGACTTGGGTATAGAATTGAGAAAATGTTAAGGAGTTGAAAAGATTGAGACTGACAGAATTATTTTCTGTAATTCAGTATCACTTGAATGTGAATCTGTAGCTGTCAGAAGCTTGTCTATTACAACCCAAGAGAACATTGTTAGATGAGTTTGCAGTTATTTTATTTCTTAGGTTTTAGGGGTTTTGTTGTTGTTTTAAATACATGCAATCTAAATATACGCATTTATACAGTGGATGTACCCTTGCTGAAATGATGGGGAAAAAAAAAATTGGGGGAAAGTGGGCAGGTTAGCTATCTACTTGTGCCAGGTATGGTTCCATACCCCATAACTGCACTTGTTTTAAAGTGTTCAGGTGAGTTCAGAACATACTGAGCTGGTTGTAGTTGTGTCTTGTTAACTGTATTGTGTTGCTTTCTACCATCCAGCAAACCTTCGTGTGTTATTTTAAAATTGCACCAAGTCCTTACTTCCTCTTCTGAAAAAACCCAGCATAAGGAACCTTTCCAAAGTTTGAGATGATGCCAGTAGTCATCAGAGGATAAAATGTTTTCAGTATATACATTTTTAGTGAGAATACCGGTAGAGACACTCCCAGGTTGTCCAGCAAAGAAGAAATGTAATTTTACTTTGCTCAGAAAGGCATTCTGAGTCATTCCAACTACTGAGTCAAGCATGTCTGTCTTCAGGCTATGTATCAACATGTAAATTAATCTGATGAGTCTCCCTGTTGATAGCTAAATTGATACTGTCATATGTTCTTTGATTTCTTACTACTTCTTACTGTCACTAGGTTTCTCAGGGACCTTAGTAGCAGGGTTATCAAGACCCTGCAAATTCTGTTCAGAAAGTTGTTGGGATAATTCAGGAGACAAGATATTGAAGATTTCCCTGTTAGGGAAACTTTGTATAGAAATGGAAAGCTGGTGCTGACCCTGAGTGGTGTGTTGATGCCTTGTTCTCCAAGTACCTGTCACTTTAGGGAAAGGGCTACTTGGAGCTTTCCACACTGTGAAAATATTTACAAGCTATCAATTAAAGACAAATAATTTCTTTCAACTGTTATTTGAGATCTATTAGCTGCATTGCTTAATGTCAACTTGCTTTACAGTGTAGAGCATGTGCTGTCATTTCTTATGTATGTAATGCAAAGTGCAAGGGTTAATGCGCAAATATTACAAATAGAGTTGAGATTAAAAACAGGCAAACAACCCCATCTGTATACCTTTGAATATTTGTACTTGTAATATAGTAATTATCTATACCTTAAAATTGTGCTTAATCTCATTTGGGGGGGGTGGATGTGTTCTCTTTTTAAGCATTTGAAAAGTAATCACGTCCATTTGCATCTCTGACTAAATTTTCCTGCTGGTTCATGTTTGCTTTTCATATTTTTTTTTGATTGCTTTTCTGAAAATGTAATATTCAGTTTGTGAGATAAATGAACTACTTGTTTGCTATAGCAAAGAAATACCCAATTCGTAGTGGCTCTGTTAGTAAATACTTTGTTAGTTATTTTTGAGTTTCCTGGACCACTGATAAGTGAAAAATGTAATTCAATACAAGGAGAGTCTTCAGTAGATGTGCACATTTAAAGGACTTTTAACTGAGTCAGGAGTCCAACAGTAAATAAATGAATAAATAAATAAATTTCTGAGCTTTGTATCTTCACAGATTTTTTTGCTTTCTGCATAAAACACTGTTGCTGTCCTTTTAGATAGTTGCCATGCAGGCATTGCATTAGGAAATAGAAAGTGTTTGGAGTGTCTTAATACATTTGGATGCAGCTTAAAGGAAGAGGGATGAAATTGCTTGAACATTCTTCTGTTCCAGCATTAATTTTTTTTTCAGTCTAGATATCTTTTCCAACTGTTTTAGTGTAAAACAATATCTTGAAACAGCAACAATCATTAGTACATTTTGATATTAGGTTGTAGCATGTGGTGGCATTTTGAGGAAGAAAATCTGTTTTTCTACTGATTACACATTTAAATGTGCTGATATAAAGCTGTCTCAACTGAGATAACGATGTAAACGTGGATACCTGTCATAGTGACTTATGTGCCTTTTAAAGTTCAAGCACATCATTCTGAACTGATACTTCATTAAAGGAAGCATGTAAATTCTGTGAAATATGTAATGTGAAGATGGAAAGCACTTGTGCTGGTAAAGTTTTCTAGAAGGAAATTTGATATTCTGTTCTTCAAACTGGCTAGTTTAGCTTGGTGTGATTTTTTTGTTGTTGTTGTTTAATTATTTTTTTGCCTTTGCTGTAGATTTTTCACAAATGATTTTTCCAAAGAGAAGCTGTATCTGTCAGAAGCTGAAAGTTTCTCTCTTATTTTTTTTGAATGGATCAGATTGTCCCAAATTACTTTGTAAAAAGAACCAAAACTTGGTAAAATCCTTCGGGTTTGGAAGTAACTTTGGGAAGTGAGAAAAGTTGAGTCTGCTTTCTTTGTAGTCGGGAGGAAAAACTTAGGAAAGCAAATACTTTTTTTTTTTTTTCCCTAGCATGCTAATGGTGCCTACTTTGCTGCACTAAAGGGAGTAAAATATGGAAGAATGGGTTTTTTACCTTTTTGAAAACTTCCTTCATTGAAAAAAATGAAGATGTGACCTAGACAAATAGCAGAACAACTGAGTGTTATAGTTAGAATAAAATGGAAAACGTGATCTGTGTGTTACTAGCAGTAAAGTTCATATCCTAGTTTTTAAGGATTTTCAGAAAGTTCTTGAGTAATACTTTGCTTTCTGAAGTGCAGTGGCAATTCTAATGATGATGGTTTTCTCAGTGCAGTCTCTAAAATACTCTGAAATGCATGTCTGGTTTGGATTCCATCATTTTCAGGTTGAAACTTTTGGGGATTTTTTTGCAGGTATACACTTCAGTGAAGGTCTTTTACTAGCCTGAGCATTCCTGGTTTTGAAATAAATTTAGAATCTATTTTTGTGAGTGTTGTAGATGAACTGTTAAGATGTTTTTGTAGTAAGAGAGAAGGTAGCAAAACCAGTGCTTTAAGTGTGTTAAATTTGAATCCTGTCTTTTATAGATTTGCAGTTGGAGAATGTTGCATTCTATGTTACGCTTTTTAAATATATACTAGCTGGAACTGATAAAATGAGTTCTAAATAGATGGCATCTCAGATTTAATTTTTTGAAGTTCACTAAGATAAATGCTTCAACTGCCTAGATTCTTTTTTCAGGGAGTAGTTTCTTAGATGTTAGGGAACTCCTGATTTTTATTACTTGCAAATAAACGATTTGGGAGATTTAATTGAAAATCCCCTTTTTCCATTCCCTAACCTGCCTTTTTTTTTTTTTTTTTTTTTAGAATAAATCCATTTACAGTTCCAAACTGTTATTGATGGTTTGCTCTGTTTGCTGCCAAAAAGTGTTTTTGAGTATGTACTTTTGAGTTTTTGCTTGAGAGTTCAGTGTCCAGTTCAGCTGGCTTTGCAAGTGTCTACTGGTTTTGACAGTATTTTCCACTTGGGTTAGGAAATCTATCTAGGTGACAAAATAAAAATATAATTTCCATACATTGACACGTGATGGTTAACACTGTTTTGACCTCTAGCAGAGGTAGGTGATAGCACAAGAACGTGCATTAAATCCAGAAACACAGTGTGGTTAATTGCTTAATTGGTTTTAGTGGGTTTTTTTTTTAATTGTTCTAGCTCAGTGTATTACTTCCAGTCAGTGTATTACTTCTGCTTGTATCAGCTTAACAAATTTGATTGTAAAATTACTCTTGAGGCTTCTTACTTCTGTCTCAAACCTGTAAATACACTGAAGTTTCTAGAAGATTTTGAGTAGGAAAGGAAACTAATTCTACCATATACTAAGGTAATGTAATACTTTGAGTGTTATGCAGCTCTTCTGACTTTGTGAGTAAAGCAATTTATGTGTACACTGGTGGAATGCTGAAATAGCAAGTCCTTTTGTTCAGGTACTCTCCTGTGTGTTAATGATATTGGGGGCATGGTATGAGATCTGGTGATAACAAGTATCTTCTATTTATGCCTTTGAGGCTGGAGGAAATGATCCAAAAATGAGAGAAAGGAGCCATTGGAATTCATTCTTAATGGAAGGCTCTATTTTTATTATCTGAAAGTATGTTATAAGGGATGAAAAGTGCATAAGATGACTCGGGCAGTTATTTCATCAGTCAGTCCCTAATAGCTAAAATGTAACACTTACCAGTTTACACTTTTGTCCAAAGGACTGGTCCACACAAAGTTGAATTTATTTTTTTTTTGTAATGTTTTATTCATTCACAATTTTAATTTATATTTCAGCTTCTGGAGCCAGTTTGCCATCAACTCTTTGAGTTTTATCGCAGTGGTGAGGAACAATTGCTACGATTTACTCTGCAGTTTCTTCCAGAATTGATATGGTGCTATCTTGCTGTCTCAGCCAGCAGAGATTTGCAGAGCAGTGGATGCATAGAGGCTCTTCTCCTAGGAGTTTATAACTTGGTTTGTATTTGCATGTAATTATTCAGGGCTAAAAATGTCAGTGAGATTTTGGGGGATAATATAGAGTATTTCACTGGGGGATAATTAACAATTTTGTTTCTGAATTAAAATGAAGTGATTGAGTATCTCAGTTTTGTCTCTTAAGGATGGTGTCCTTGTCAGAAATCTGCAACATGAACTTTTATTTTGGTCAATATTTTCTCCGCTTTTTTTGTGGTTCCTGAAAAGTGTTAATGCACTAATGGTTGAAGAAGACAGAGGAGTTCTCCTTAATATTTTTTGTTACTTAGTTACATTCTGCTCAAGAGCTTTTGGAGGTGCTGCTTTTGAAGTGGTTGCCCATATTTTCTGGGGTATTTTTACTATCTTGACCAGAAAACACAAAAATATCACTTTCAATAAATACTTAGTACTTGACTGCTGAACAGATTGCTTAGCTTTGAGAAATTAAAGGTCTTTCATTTTGTAATAATGTTGACATTTTTTTCATATTTTATATGAAAAGATACTGTTTGTTACTAAATTACTGCTTGGGAGAACAGAATTATGAAAAAACCTTGAACAGCACCATATTTTAGTTAGCATTTAGTCTTTTTATGGTTATTGTAAAAAAACATAGTGTGTTACGGCCATTGGGATTCTCTTCAGTGTAGTTTGTATGTTCTGGATGTTTGAGGAAGGTGCTTTGGGAAGTGAAACAGTGATGAACTTCAAGTTCCCATTTTGAAAATCTGGAGAAAGCAGCTCCCATCCTTCTTCTAAGAATAATCTTACTCGTGCCAAGCAAGTGAAAATATTTTTTCACCCAGGATTCTACTTAAAAAGACCTGAACCCTTATATTCAACTCTTCTTTAGGCAGAGTACAGACTTCATGTGCTTTCTGTGTGCTTTGTTGTATCTGAGAAGAAAAACACTCCAGGAACGCATTTAGTATATCTTATGTCATAAATCACTTCAATCCTTTATTTCCATGATTAATTCACCTAAAATGGTTGCTGGATGTGGCTATAATCACTTGTCTTTCTGCTAGAAGAGATTACATTTACAGTTAAGCTTGAAACCATTCCAGTAACATCTTCGCTTAGCTACGAACAGTTTTGTCCTCAATTAGTAACATAACCATCCATCTCCAGCTTCTTGGGATCATAAGAATTTTACAGCAAGCTTCTGTAGGAAGCTCTAGATCCACCTGATTTTTAGAAACATATTCCTTGCCCCCCACCCCCTTCTGCTTTAAGATATAATGAATGCTTATGCTGAAGTAACACAATGTTACTGATGCTGACTTCTTCACCTGATGATGTTGTATCAAATCTGTAATGTAATCAAGATGGTTCTGTTCTTCAGTATGCAAAGTTGAAAAAGTAGTAGGTGACCTACTTAGATCCTTATTTTTTCTTTAACCAGCTACTTTATCTTTCAAAAGCAAGGGGAAAAACATAGCCTAATATAAATAGTAATCCTTCTGGTCTCTTGGAACTTGAGGGGCATAATGTGCTTAACAGTCCTGCAGTTTCTTACTGAAAGAAATTGAAAAATTAAGTATTGCTCAGAATAATTTAAAATTCACTATCTTGTCAGAGATATGGAATTATTGCGGCTGAACCTTGAGATCATGAACTGTTTTGTTCTACCTTCAGCCTGGAGACATTCAGTGGTAGTGCATGCAGTTGATATTTTTGGCTTTTCTGGCTGTAGGTATCATTTTTTTCCTAATAAATCAGATCTTGAAATGCACTCCTGAAACTTAATTACAAGTCTGATTAGAATGGTCAAAATATCCATATTTTTAGATTTTAAAAGTTTGGATGTAACCAGTTTCTCTTCCCTTCCCCCTCATATATTGAAGAAACTGTTTTTCACATGGATGTGGAAGCAATATTGAACATTAACAGCGGTTTGTGGAGAGTGGTGAAGCTGTGTAACTCTTCAGACAGAACAATTCTGTATGCCTTTTTGATACTTCTCAGTCTTACTTTACCACTTCATATTCTACTTTAAGATGTGAGTTTTAATAATTACTATGTGAGTTTAAACCTTTAGCCTTCCAAGCCATCGGTCTTAGGAGACACTGAAGCTCCTCTCTGATCTCTACTTTTGGATATATGAAATCTGCTGCTGAAGTTTAGAAAGAAAAAGTTCTTGTGTGTGTGGTGTTGGTTATTGGTCAGTTCTGCTTTGTAACCTCTAATTTGAAGTACTTCAGTGCTCTTCTGTGATACACAGGCACATCTTTTTTTTTGCCTTACCTATTAGTCTTCCGCTAATTTACAGGAGTGAGAAGTCTACCAACATACTGTCATGTGGTATCTTCCAGGAGAGTAGCTTCTCTAAAGCTTTTCATCCATGCTTCTTTTAACTCCCTAAGTTAAGTCCATAAGTTACAGTTCTTTTAACTCTATAAGTTATAACTGAACTTGGCTTTTGCAAATACTATGATGTCAAATCATGAGGCTGCACATTGCAGAACTATAATATTTCCAAATAAATTACTTGTAGAATCATTACTTAATGGCTAAATAGTTTTCAGAACAGAATTATTGGGCATTAACCATCACAATTAGCAAATAGTGTATAATTATTAAAAGATAATACTATTTAAACATACCAAAATTTCCAGTTAGTGTATTTAAGGTGCACTGTGTATGCAAATGCATGTGCCCTTTGCTATGTCATTTGAATACTTTTCAGAAACAAAGCAAATGCACTGTGATAGAAGGCAAATACAGAGATAATTTCTAGCTTGTAGCCTGGATTGTTATAGTATCCCTATCTGTCCCTATAAGGATTTGTTGGCTTTTTTCATCCATTCACCCCCATCCGGCACTTAATGTTTTTGCATGTCTGGTTTCTGTAGTACAGTGTAACCATTGGTATCTCCTGTCTTTTTCAGGAGATAGTTGACAAAGAGGGACATAGCAAAGTGCTGAGTTTCACAATTCCGTCTTTGTCCAAACCTTCAGTCTATCATGAAGTAAGTGACATCCACAATGTAAAGTTGTTGCTGATCAAGAAAGGCAGTATGCTTTGGAGACCTGTTCGTTAAGAATAAAAGTGAAAAGTAGTTTGAATGTGTTGCATGGTGACATAGGAACATGTTTCTTGATCTTCTGAGTACTATTAACTTGTCTCTGAGACTTATTCAAGACTCCATAGTCATAACTCCATAATGTCCGTGCTCCAACTATGTCTTTCTATTCTGAAGGCATGTACCTTATCTGGAGTAAAATAACTTCTCAAATCTAAGACAGTGGTCAGATAACCTTAGCCTGTTAAAAATTTATGTACAAATGTAGTGATGCTGATTGCTGTCTGTTTTCACTTGCATTGTAGCAAGACTTCAGCCAGACATGTTTTGAATGACCCTTTTTCCTTTAGCCTTCCAGCATTGGCTCCATGGCTCTCACTGAAGGAGCTTTATCGCAGCATGGCTTATCCAGGGTTGTATACAGTGGACCTCATCCTCAGAGGGAGATGTTAACAGCACAGAACAGGTGAAATTGTGTAGTAAAATTTTGCTTGAGAAGCACTAATGAATCTTAGCTTTTTATAATCTTTCATATAGTTATAGAATGAAGGTGGATAGGTGAATGTTGTAGTTTGTGGTGGGTTTTTTTTTGTTCTTAAATACATGTAAATGTAGATGAAGACAGATTAGCAGAATGTATTACTACATGAAGAGGAGAAGCTTGCAGAAGTACACAATCGTCAACTTTATTGAAGTGAAATATCAAATCTGTTCAAATAACTCTTGCAAATTTTTGTGTAAACTTGTTTTTTTTAAAAACTGATATTATAATTCTAATGTTTCTCGTAAATCCTAGGTTTGAAGTGCTGACTTTCCTTCTGCTCTGTTACAATGCTGCCTTAAGCTACATGCCTGCAGTTTCTCTTCAGTCGTTGTGTCAAATTTGTTCAAGGTAATTTCTGTAGGTTGATTTAAAATCGCATTTTAAACTTGAAATGCAATCCATTTGAACTTCTTTTTTGTTTTAAAAAAAAAAAAAAAAAGCTTCAGGTTCCCAAAAGCTGCTTGCAAACTTGACTTTCTTTCCAAAATGTTTACAGCTGCATTGTTTGTAAAAGCTGCATTGTTTGTAAAAGCTTATTAACTTTGGGTTAAGATCTCAAAATGGGGAAGCTTTATATGCAGTGCTGTTAAGAGGAGAAGTCAAATCAAGGAAACTGTTTTGATTTTAACCAAGGTAGTTGTAGTTGTGTTAAGTAAATAAAATCAGAAATGTCTTCTAAAATCTTGGTAAATTTTGCATTGCAAGCTTACCAAATATATTTGAATGCTGTGGAAGTTGAAACTTTCCTGAAATTATAGTAGATTTTGAAACTAAAAATACATCTGTTCTCACAGATACTTTAGGTATTTCCAAAACCTGCTGTTACTTCAAAAAAGAAATAAACCCAAAAAACCCCTGCGTCAGCTTTAATTACAATGTCTATTTTTGATCCATTTCTTTTTTCAGAGAGGAAGAACTGATAGTAAACATGTCTATCTCTATATTTTTGAAAGTGGACTTTGGGTTAAGGAAAAAATTAGAATGCTTTCTTTAACCCAGGAAACCTGAGAGCGACCTAGAAGTCACCCACGTCAACTTTTTACCAGTCATAAGTTTCCAGGTTCCTCACACAAGCAAAGTATGGTAGTGGATGCCTGTAAGATTCTCTCCTCTTTAGAGGAAGTGAGAGAGCATTGGAGCACTTGGCAGTATTTACAAGACTCTTTAGAAGATCTTTGTTAGGTATACTGGTCTAAAATTTAAGGTAGAAAATGCTTAGAATCTAAAGATTATGGACAGGAGACTGATGTTACTTATTCTACTTGATTAGGTTTTGATTGTATTTGGGATAATAATTTTTAAAAAGCCTCCAAAAAACCCTAAGCAAATTACCAGTAGATGCAAGCAAGTCTTTCTGCTTTAAAATCTTGAATGCTTGGATACTGAGTTATTTGATATTATACCATTCAACTTTTATCTTAGTTCTTCATATGCTACTGGTTTTGGCATCCGTGTTTCTCTGTTTACTGAAAATCTCACCCTGACAGCATTTTAGGGATTCAAGGAAATATGTGTCAAAAGACCAGAATATCTTTCAGTATCCTGTTTGGATGTGGTGCTGACAAAATTATTGGAAGAATCTGTAGAATAACTCCTTTAGTTGGTTTAATGAGTGTTGAATTTAGATTTTTTGGAAGATCTACATGAAAGCAATCAGCAATGAATGTGCTTTCTCCTAGTAAGTCTAAGTCAATTTTTATGACTTTTCTAAAGAAGCTAAAGCTTCTAGTACTACTTATTTACAAACATGAACTGTAAATGTGGCAATTGCAGCACGAAATATTTTGTGCTGATCTCAAGTGTTTTAAATCCACATTTTTTGCATTTGAGTATTTTCAGTTACTAAGTCTTGTTTTCATAAGAATATTATCTTACTCTGATGTAGAGCAAAGCAGTTCCACTGATGTCATTCTAGCCTTGTAGAGGAAGTAACTCAGATGAGAGTAGGACTTCTTAAAACTAATCAATACTGGCATTAATGGAGTGTCTATATTAAGGTCTTTTCTATGTAACTGTCAGTGTTAACTGAACACATTCCTACTGTGACTTTCACTATTTTCCCCCCAAAATACCTATTGTATCCCTGTATAGTATCACCTAGTAAGTGTATAAATAGATACATCAGCATAAAAATGGTTAGATGTTTTTTATGTAAACAAGTCTTTTTGCTTGAAGTGGACACTTGCTGCTGCCTCCAGTCCTTAGGCTTTACACAGCACTGAAATGTTTATTTAGTGGATCGTGTCATCTTTGAGCAAAACCATTGGCAGAAATTATGGACTATTTGGAACTAAAATGTTGCCCAAGTTGCATAATAATAGTCTCTTCCAGGGGATAAAGATGAGGAAAATGGGATGGGATTTTTGTGGGTTTGTTACTCAACCTTGTTAATTTCAGTAACTGGCTCCTGTGGTATATATAGGACTAGGTAAGAGTCAGAAAAAAGGCTTTCATGCTTTAACTTTTACCATGTATGGACAAAATTAAATAGGAGAGGATGAACTCATTCAGTTCTAACATCCTAAGCATATTTAACAGAAGGGTCAATTTCATTCACTTAACTGGAAGTCAGATTTTTGGTTTAGCTAGCTGTGCATATACTTTGCAGGTGAACTCTATGTATTTTAAGATACAAATTTATTTGCTTTCTGGTTTCTAAAAAATTAGATTTTTAAGCTATTTGAATAGTGAGACAAATCACAATGCAATCTGAAGTAATGTATTCCTAACAATAATAAAATCAGAGTTTAAAATCTGAATGAATAAGGAAGGAGTACTTAAATAGACTGTGTTTCTGGCCAACAGCAATGTCAAATTTAGGGGAAAACCTGCGGTTAGGTACAAATTCATATGTTTGGCTACTCTTGAAAATCAAAATTCAAAGCTAAGCAAAATAATTTTTTGCTTTTGGTTTTAGAAATAGGATTTGGAATTGTTGAATTCAGTCACTTAAATCTTGGTTTAGGCCAGTCTGAGAATTTTGTATTTAGAGTTGTAAATTTCAGTGAGAATTATGACTAAATCCTGATGTTCAGAGCAGCAGTTGACCAACTCTATAAAATGGCAACAGAAGCCTAGGGTTTATGGAATTACCTTCAATACCACATGAGTGCACAGAGGGCACAGGTATCCTATACCTACAGCTCCCTTGGCCTTTCTGAACTTCATGAAGTTAAGTGCAAGGTCCTGCACCTGTGTTTGGGCAATCCCTGATACCAGTACAGACTGAGGGATGAATGAATTGAGATCAGCCCTGTGGAGAAGCCCTTGGGAATACAGTGCAGTATACACTCATATCCCAGAAAGCCAACCGTATCCTGGGCTGCATCAAGAGAAGAGTGGCCAGTGGTTGAGGGAGGGCATTGTCTCCATCTACTCCACTCCCCTGAGACCCCACCTGCAGTGCTGTGTTCAGTAAAAGACATGGACCTGTTTTATGGACCTCTGGGTCCAGTGGAGGGCCATAAAAAAAGTCAGAGTGCTGGAACACTGCTCCTCTAAAGAAAGGCTGAGAGAGCTGGGGTTCAGCCTTTTGAAGAGAAGATTCCAGGAAGACGACCTTGCAGCCCTTCAGTATCTATAAGGGAGGCTTTTTGGCAAAACTTGTAGTGACAGGATGAGGGGTGGCCACAACTAAAAGAGGGAAGATTTAGATTAGGTATAAGGAAGAAATCCTTTCCTGTGAGGGTGGTGAGACACTGGCACAGGTTTCCCAAGAAGCTGTGGCTGCCCCCTCCCTGGCAGTGTTCAAGGCCAGGCTGATGGGGCTTTGAGCAACCTGGGCTAGTGGAAGGTGTCCCTGCCCAGGGCAGGGGGGTGGAAATTCATGCTCTCTAAAGGTCCCTTCTGACCCAAATCATTCTGTGATTTTTCCTTTATAAACATCTCACAATGTTTTCATTTCCTTGCTTGTTGTCACCAGCATAGCTTCCTGTCTTTCCTGAGGTATTTAAAATCTTTTTTTGTTTTTATTTGGAGATATGGTGATATGAGCATGAAGAATCAAATTTAGATCATTGTGCAAGGTTTAATCCTTGCTGGGATGAGAGAACACGTTGCCGTTGCCCCTCCCCCACCCGCGCCGGTCGGGCTGGAAGTTAGACACAGACCCCGGCTAAAATAACAAGAAATTTAATACAACAGAGTGATAGAACAATCTGAACAGCAACAGTATCAATGGTAACAACAATAAACAGCAATAACAGTGAACAAGACAAACGATATACAGAGAAATACTGCTAAATGATCAAGGAGCAAACCCTCCACGTGTATGGCAAAAACCAAAACCAGAAGCGAAAGTAAAAAGGCTCCGCCCCCGGACCTGACGTCAGCATGGTATGAATAACCCGGCTGGAGATCCCTTCCCCCTCTCTCTCTGCTGGGGAGAACTTTATCTCTATCCTGGCTGAACCAGGACACTCATACTAGGTACAAAGTACATACTGGGAGAGTTGCTGAGCCACAGAGATCCTGGGGGTGCTGTCTCTGTGTGGGGTGCTTTTTTGGTGGTGTGTTGTTTTTTTTTTTTTTAAGTAGCTGAAGCAGGAGTTGAGGGATAGAGAAGGAGAAGAAAAATGTGGAGAAGTGGAGTAGATTAGTGGCAAAGTTAGGACTAATAAAAAAAGTAATTTGAAAGGTATTACAATTTTAACTCCTTTTTTTTTTTTTTTTTTTTTTTTTTATTTAGGAGTTTTACAAGCTCTCTGGTATTGATGCTGAAGAATTGAAGCTTACTGAGACTAAACCTTTTAGTTTATGCTTTGGAGAAGGAAATACTTTGATTAATGTCATTTAAAGGTCGTTCCAGAAGTCCAGTAATAGCCAATGATTTGTATAATTAACTACCCAATATCTTTGATTTCCAAAATGTTTTTGGACTACAGAACCTGGTGTGGACTTTAGTTCTAAAGTTGACTTACTGGATTTTAGAATAACTTTATGAATGTGATGCTTCTGGTCTCTTTGCCTGAGAACTTGTATGCAGCTTCCATATTACATGCAATGATGCTTATGTTCTATCTATAATATTAATAGTTGCTATGTTGCTTTATTTCCTTAAATACCATTAACTTATTCTTTGTGTGTTCTGCAGTGAATGAGTGGATTCAAAATGGCTTTTACTGGTAGCTTTCTCGTATTCCACTGTAGTATAAATGTAACTGGAGTGTCTAGGATGTCTCTGTTTAGAAGGATTTGAACTGTGCCGGTAGAGGGCATACCCTTCTTCCATAATAAGAAACATTCTGCTTCAGCACAAGGTTGTTGATGGATGCCTTCCTGTGGGTCTACTGTAATTAAAATGCATACTAAATACCTAGCATTGTAGAGTTCTGTACAAAGGTGGTTCTACATTATTTGCTAATGACAGATGCATGATTTCTTTAGAATTTGTGTCTGTGGATATCCTCGCCAACAAGTGAGAAAGTACAAGGGAGTCAACTGTAGGATTCCAGTTTCATCTGAATTCATGGTGCAAATGCTAACAGGGATTTATTATGCCTTGTAAGTAGGGTTTTTTTTTTTTAAATATGCGTACAAAATAAAGAAATGTCAGCTTAATTTCTACACTTGTTTAGGCGTGCTACATTTGAAATGTTTTATTTTTCTAGTGGATAGATGCTGTGTCTAGCCATAAGGTCCTCAGGAAGAGAACATAGTTCTCCAATAATTGGCTGAAGTTACCTATGTCATACTGGGGAAGAGGTCTAGCACAGCTTTTAATAGGTATAACTGCTGATGGGAAAAAAGGAAATCTTTAAAAAAACCTCCTCCTTCTAACTGTGGTCTGCTGTCCACATTTTTGCATGCTTAGTTTTGACATCAGTTTAGTTAAGGAAAAAAGGTCTTATCATTTTTCCTTTGAAATGCTGATGTCATCTCCCCTTTAATAGTCATGTTAATATGTGAAGCTCTCTTATTAACTGTAATAATTAGAGACTAGTAACACAGGAACACTCAGAAGGTGGAGTAATATTCAAACAGTCCTGTTTGAATTTCAGAATATGTCTTGATCAATAACTAATTAAGTAATTTAAAAATTGCTCAGGATGACCAATGAAAATAAAACTTTGTCTCCATAGACACTACTTCAGAACAAGTTCTCTGTATAGCAGGCTTACTACTAATGAACACAAGTAGTTCAACTCCTCTAAATTGAACTCTCAAGGAGCACTAAATCTTTGAAGGTTATGTGACTAAGAAGGTTTGTCTATTGATATAGATGCTTATTATTATGTGTGTATTTACCTTTGTAGTTATAATGGAGAATGGGATCTGGCTCGTAAAGCTATGGATGACATTTTGTATAGAGCACAGCTGGAACTGTATCCAGAACCTTTGCTGGTAGGTATTGCATTCCAACATTTTTTGGGGTAGAATTTTAGTCTAGGAAATCTTTATTGTGAACACACGTGATGCAGCATTGCACCAGGAACCTACATATCACAGGGTCTGTGTGGCTGTGTCCATGTGAATAGCTAGATCCATAACTATACACATACACAGAGGTATTTTAATGTACTTAGTTACTTTGTCATCTTCCCTAGTGAACAATCTATTTCAGCGAAACACTTCTAATTCTTGAAAGCTTAGATGATAATCCAGAAGCATTCTGAAGTAATAGCCACATCTTTAAATTGGAGGCTTTGTTTTAGAAAGTGGCAAGTATTAGTTCCGAGAGGCAATTGCAAACAGCATTCTTTATAACCTGTGCAAAAAGGTGTGCTTTTTGACCTTAAACTGGAGTTATACACAGTATTCTTCTCGGAGTAATAAGAATCCCCTGACAGAGTTCTAAGATTTGGATTCATGTTAAGAACTTGACTGTGTGTTTTCTCTTCTAGGTTGCTAATGCAATAAAAGCCTCACTTCCTAAGGGTGCCATGAAATCTAGTAAAGAAGGTACAAGATGCATTCAGGTTGAAATTACACCTACTTCATCCAGAATATCAAGAAACGCTGTGACTAGCATGTCTATCCGAGGGCATAGATGGAAAAGGCATGGTAAGAAACACATTTTGCAGTGAATCCTCAACTTTTTACATGTGTTTAAAGTAACATTGAGAACTTTGTTATTGCACATCTTCATTGCTAGTAAACAAGCAACAGTTTGGAGGTTTTTATTTTCTTGACTGGTGAATGGGAATCTTAATGCAGTTCAGATGATGTGTATTCTTTATTTCCTTGTTTATTTCCATGTTTAAAAAAACCCCAAACCAACACACAGAAACCCTTTTTGTTAAAGCTGTACAAAATTATTATTTTTTTTTTTAGAGAAACCAGTGTTCCTGTTTTCTTCTGAAAACAAAGGTATTAACAACTTTACTGCAAAACCTCATCTGTCTTAAATTACTTAAATAAAAATAGGAATTAAGGATAGGGGGATAAATTACTATGCTTTGGTGTTGGGGTTTAACCCTGGCCAGTAACTAAGCAGCACACAGGTGCTTACTCCCCCTGAAGTGGCATGGGGAAGATAATTGGAAGGTTAGAAGTGAGAAAACTTATGGGTTGAGATGAAGACAGTTTAATAAGGAAAGCAAAAGCTGTGCATGCAAGCAAAGCAAAACAAGGAATTCATTCACCACTTCCTGTCAGGAGGCAGGTGCTCAGCCATCTCCAGGAGAGCAGGGCTCCATCACATGTAACAGTAACTTGGGAAGGCACACACCATCACTCTGAACATCTTCCCCTTCCTTCTTCTTCCCCCAGCTTTTTATTGCCGAACATGACATCGTATGGTATGGGATGTCCCTTTGGTCAGGTGGGGTCAGCTGTCCCAGCTGTGTCCTTTCTCAACTTCTTGTGCTTCCCCCCCAGCCTCCTCACTGGCGGGGTGGTGAGAAGCAGAAAAGGCCATGACTGTGTGAGCACTGCTCAGCAGTAACTGAAACATCCCTGTATTATCAACACTGTTTCCAACACAATTCAAAAGACAGCGCTGTACTAGCTAACTATCCCAGCCAAAACCAACACATTTGAGCCAACTAATATAAGGGCTTCCACCCACAAAGTAGAACACAGGTCTGGGCTGAGAAGTAGAAAAAGTGTTGTTAAATGTATTGCAAAAGGAGAAACATCATATTCCACTTCTACCGTCTTCAGATGAGGAAAGAGCCATCAGACCAGAGATCAAAATTGGCAATGGCTTGTTCTTGTAGGCTTGTAATTCTGATGACAGGCTGAGTGATATAAGGATGCTCTTCTAATAGGTTCAATAAAGATTTTGAAGTAGTATCATAAAAAATTCTGTATGATATGTACTGTGTGAGCTTTTGTAGTATATGGACAGTTCAGTTAAAAAACTATTCCAAAGTTACTTGTCATAAAGGACCAAAAGGTAGTTCAGGTAAGTGTTGAGAAGTATAAAAACGCTAGTAGAAGATGACTTTAAAGTAATGACAGAGCTTTCTGAGCAGTAGTAGTACACATTGGTAGTGATAGCACCAGTAGTAAGCTGTCAGATGGGGTGAGGGACAAAGAAAGGTAAAATAACCGAACTTCTTTTCAGTTGATTAAAAACTGTTTAAAAACTGTCAGAGCTGAGGAGCAAAAAATTAGTGTCTTCAACTTGAGTGAGGTCCAGTAGCAAGTCATTACTGAAATCTCAAGACTGCTAAGGACCATTTTAGTCTTTATTATTTATTTTCCTTTCTTCAGGCTTACAGTTGTTAAGCAGGGATTATTGACCAGGTGCAAGAAAACTGTATGATAGCTCACCTTTTAAATGGACAAATGACCTCTGAAGCTGCCAATTTCGTTAGCTATTACTTTTGAGTAGTTCTGATGCTTGTTCAAATGAGGTGGTGCAGGGGAACACAGATTAAGGATACCAAGTGCTGGTTCATTCAGAGGAATTGGAAATGTATTAAAATAAAGATTCCCTTTGTCTCTGCATTTACGAATAAAAATAGTAAAAAGGCTACAGAATCAGTGTTGGAACCATCCTTGTAAGAAGGCAATTTTTTCAGCAAATGTAGAAATCTAGAAGTTCTTGAAATTGCCTTCTTGCAGGGGGTGATGCTTGGTGAAGTTCAAGGAAAAATGGGTGGGGCAAGTGTGCTGTGCAGCAGGCAGCAGTAAGGTAAAAGGGAAATGAGAGTTCTAGTAGGACTGATAGAAATGGGCTGAATGCTGTTGTTTTATGGGAGTCTTATGAAACAGGACAACTTGAGAGAAGCAGTGATAATCTAGTATGACTCAAGTGAGGAGTAGTCAGTGTTTAGGGATGAGAATTGAAAGATTAAGGACATAGTAAAAAGCTGTTGTCAACATTTTTTGGGGGTTATTGGGAAAACTTTGGATTTGCCTTGATGGTACAGGATTTAATGACGAATAAAATCACTTGGTGTAGGATGGGGTTGGAGGGAAACTTGTGTGGCAGGTTTTGGGAGTAATTGTAAATTTGAAAGCTCTGTGAACATTACGCTAATTTAAAGGCTAAAACTGAGTCTATGGTATCTTTGACTCTGATTGTTTTGTTCTAAATGGTAAGTGTTCCATGCATAGATTGCTTCAGCTAATCACAAAATTTTCATTTTAAAATAGTAACAAAACTTTTGTTTGTGAATTGAAAAGCCTTTTTAAAGTCAGAGTGGATGCTCTCCTGATTTCAAAATTCCTAATAACATAATTCAGTGCCCCACAATTCCTGATGAAAGAAGGATGTGGAATAGATCTTCAGAGTCAGCATGCAGAAAGAATAATTAGGTTTGTGCTTACAGATGCCTGTTTGAATTAAAATAAATACTAGAGTTGGTAGAAATCAGATGACAAAAGTTGTACCTCCTGACCATTATTTTCTTTCCCACTGTGTAAGGGGAAGAAATATATTTGGATGTTTTCTTTTTGTGCTTGAGTGTAATAAAAATGAGTTGTACGAATGGATTAGGAAGCTAGAGGGGACAGCTGAGAGGTAGTCTGATCTTACACATGAAATGAACCGGAAGACCTGATGAAGCAAAGTATCCCTTGGGGAAGGAAGGGCAGCTTGTTCTTTGTGTGAAATAAATAAAGAATTACAGCCAATCACATTTCCAGATGACAAGCATGGGTGCTTTTTTTATCTTTTAAAAAATCCAGTTTACTATAAACATTTTCAGACATTAGATCTGGCTAGTCTTTGCTAGATTTCTAGATTGAAGTCAGTTTTGAAAAAAGGTTGATTCAACTTTTAATCTTGTGGTGGTCAACCCTGTATCTTGTTCATTAGAGCTGTTACTTAGACTTTTTTAAAAATCATATTGTGAATTTGGACTTCTAAGATAGGTACTTTGGAAGTATTAAAGGTGAAGCTTATTTGCAAAGTGGATCAGTTGATACTAGCCACCACTTACCAACAAATTATTTAGTGCTATTAAACTGGGTTGCCTATAAATCATAAAACTTAAAAAAGGAGAGCATTAGCTCCTCTATCTAGCATTAGATTTTTGTACTGTTTGTGTTTTAAAAACAAGCCTTGAGTGGCATCTCCATTTCCATTCACAAATAGAGGAAAGCCAGAAAAATCGCACAGTGTGTAAGGGACGTAAACACCTAAATGAATGGTTATTTATGGAAGTTAGGAAAAAAAAACAAAACAAGCCCTAGCAGCACTTCCCTTACCAATGGAAAAATCTGCCAACTGCCCTATAAAAGAGTTGGTCAGGAAAAACTGTATGTAGAAGTAATGCTGTAGAGAAATACTCTGATGTATCAGATTAAATAAGAAGAGCCGAGCAGATGTTGGTAAGATACATAACACAAAAACCAAGACATCGACTAGAGAAGGACAAATGTTATTTTTTTTTTTCCCCCATTTCAGAAAACGATTTCCATGTAGTACACAAGGTTTAGAAAAATTAATACTTAATTATCTGTGGAGAAAATTTTCTTACTTTTTGAAACAGCATTAATTCCTGAAATAGTTACAACTTTTAGGAATCTGGAATGAATGTTAATTTTGGTATATAAGCTTGATGTTTTGTGAGTAATTCAAAATGCTACTGTTGTGCAGGAAATGTGGTTTGAGCATGTGGTGGTTAAAGTTGAATTACAATCCCAGGCGGGCAGTTTGCCTGTGCAGTCCGAAGTAGATGATGTAGGCAACTGTAATAGGAACATAGACTGTGATTGAAATATCTTCTGAATTAATTCTTAGCAGCTAGTAATCATTAAATGCATTTATCAAGGTTGGTTGTACTACTCAGAGAATTCAGAAATAGGACTCCAAGTGCGTTTTCCTTCAGCTGCTGTGGGCATATTTGTATTAATTTTCCAACTGACAATTGTTTCGTTTTGTCTCTACACTGTTTAGCACGTCCTATGTGTTCTCATTTGCTGCATTGCCTTCTGCACTGGGTATTACTATCTCTTTCTCATAGACTCCCAGAGTTGTCCAGCTTGAAGTAGTGTTATCTTCAAAACCAAGCGCTATGAAGCTGAAGGTTTGTTTTAGGTGTTCTTAAAAGTTTTAAAATAAGGAGGGGATGCTACCATGAAAGACGTTGATTATGTAGTCTTATCTCTGCCACGAGACTGTAGATAGTATGGTAGACAGTGTTAATAGGACTTGAGATACCTAGTATACCATTTTTATTAATTTTGTCCTGTACTTCAGTGTTAAACTCAGAGAAAGGTATATTCTCTTTCATTAGAAGCCATTAATAGCACTAAACTAGAAGATTAGATATAATTATGCTGAGTAAAACTCAAGGTTTTTGTGTTTTGTTTTTTTTTTTCTCCAGTTCACTGTGGTAATGGCTACACAGCTGTGGGAATGCAGCAATGATGGGTAAAATACTGATATCACAGTAGGATATTACATTTAGAAATTCACACTATCAAACAGCAATAACCAAGTGTTGCTGTTATCCAAAAATCTGTAACAAAAAAGTTGTTCTCCTGTTCCTCTGATTTCTGCTGTGCACTCTGAGTCTCCTTTCTTTGTTGTTAATTACTGCTTTTCTGCCCTTGGTGGGGAAGGGGTTGATAGTGAGCTCTGTTCTGCCCTCTCCTCTCACTGGTGTCCTGGCTCTAAATGAAGTTTCTAGCAGAATTGACTTATGCGTATGGAGATCGGTGGATCCTGGAAAGAAGTACTGCTGAAATAAGGTGCCTGTAGCTGCACTGATGGAGTAGGAGGAAGGAATTTCAAGATTGCTGTAGGAGAGGCACAGGTACTTCACCCTAGTAAAATAAGAGCAATGAGGCCAAGCAGAGCGTTGATCTTCTCACTAACCTTTCTACTACTATGTTTTTAGAAGAAAGGCTCTATTTGGTGGTGGTATTAATACCATTATTGTTATTTGTTATTTTTATTACTATTGCAGTTCACAGCGCTTGGTTGTTACTTTTCTTACTGACAATAGAATACTTCTGTAGAAAGTGCTGTTAGAAGGAGTAACACTTGGAAACAATTCTAACTTGAGTTTCCTGCTAAATATCAGGAAGTTAGTGGCTAATAGCAGCAGTTGTTAATGACATTTCCTTTAGCTACTACAACTTGTTAAATAAGATAGTTTCATTGACTAGTTACAAAATACCATGATACTTAACATTTGCAGGTAAAATGAGGGATAGTTAACCTTCTAGCTCTGAGACTTATTGTTGTGATAGTTGCAGACAGCACAAATGCTAATGAAAAGCAAAGCACTGTAGCCTGCTTGAGCTAGAAGTACACTGTATCTGCACAAAGTCCTCAGCACGGGGACAGAAGGAAGAGAAGATCCCCTCTAGCTAAAAATAGAGCTGCTGCTGTAAAAAATCATCTCATCGTAAATACCTCTGGTTTGGGACTTCATACTGTCAGTTAAATGTCTGTAGTGCTAACTACTGTCATGTGCAGTAGCAAACTGGCAATATAGTCTGAGTGATCCTTATTTAATTCTCAGGTCTGAAAGAGCTGTACAGGGATTCGTAGAATCACAGAATGGTTTGGGTTGGAAGGGACTTTAAAGACCATCCAGTTCCAACACCCTGCCCTGGGCAGGGACACCTTCCACTAGCCCAGGTTGCTCAAAGCCCCGTCCAACCTGGCCTTGAACACTGCCAGGGAGGGAGCAGCCACAACAGAATCACAGAATCATCTAGGTTGGAATAGACCTTGAAGATCACCTAGTCCAACCCTTAATGTAACACTGACAGTTCTCAACTACACCATATCCCTAAACACCGTGTCAGCCTCTCTGGGCACCTGTTCCAGTGCCTCACCATCCTCATGGTAAAGAATTTCTTCCTTATATCTAATCTAAATCTACACTCTTTCAGTTTAAAACTGTTACCCCTTGTCCTATCACTACCCTCCCTGATGCAGAGTCCCTCCCCATCTCTCTTGTGGCCCCCTTTAAGTACTGGAAGGCTGCTGTAAGGTCTCTCTGGAGCCTTCTCTTCTCCAGGCTGAACAACCTGTCCTCCTAAGGGAAGTGCTCCAACCTCACAATCATCTGGATAGAGTGGTTCATCTACCAAATCCATGTCTTGCCAACTTAGAGAGAAGGATGTCATGTGGGACAGTGTCAAATGCTTTGCACAAGTCCAGGTAGATGACATCAGTTGCTCTTCCCTTATCCACCAATGCTGTTACCCTGTTGTAGAAGGCCATGAAATTCATCAGGAATTATTTTCCCTTAGTGAAGCCATGTAGGCTGTCACCAGTCCTTATTTTTCATGTGCCCTATCATAGTTTCCAGGAAGATCTGCTCCATGATCTTGCCAGGCACAAAGGTGAGATCTATTGGCCTGTAGTTCCCCAGGTCTTCCTTTTTGTTCCTTCTTGAAAATGGGAGTTATGTTTTTCTTTTTCCAGTCAGCAGGAACTTCACCAGACTTCTGTCATTTCTTGAATATGATGGATAGTTGTTTAGCATCTTCACCTGCCAGTTCCCTCAGGACCCACAGATGCATCTCATCAGGTCCCATGGACTTGTGCACATTCAGGTTCCTTAGATGGTCTCAAACCTGACCTTCTCCTACACTGGACGGTTCTTCATTCTCCCAGTCCCTGCCTTTGCCTTCTGTGTCTTGGGCGGTGTGGCTGGAGCACTTGCTGGTGAAGACTGAGGCCAAAAAGTTGAGCTGTGTTTTTTGGAGCATTTTTATTCTTTTCCAAGTTTGTGGCTGTAGTGTTTGCATATAGTATACATATAAAACATATACAGAAAATATAACGATGTAGCATATTGTGTAGTTCTTCCTCTTCACTTGGATTTCTTGTGGTATACATCTTCATGGAGGATGTACCATGACTATCCATAACTGATGGCTTCTCTTTTTCTTCTCCAGGTCATGTAAATGCATTTTTGTGGTTGTAGAGCTAGTGCTGATAAAGCAATTCTGAATACTTTTTAAAAGAGCTTCAAATAATGAGAATACTTCAAACACTGAAGCTGACAGATCACTAGGATTGTAACTTGTTAATTCATATGCTTATAATTTCCATAAAGTTTTCAACTCCTGTTTTTCTTCTCACTTTTTTGCCTCTCGAGTTCATACTTCTGAAACCTGTCTTTATCTAATGTAGACCAGCATCTTTTGAGTTGGGATTTGTTTTACCAGGACATTGTAGGAACTATTGCTTTCTTATCACTAAATATTATTAAATTTCTTGTGCTTACACACAACCATCATTCTCACATTTTGCGTAGCAGTGGAGTATTCTGTTTGCTTGGGAATTTTTGGCTATGTCTGCAGAAACCTTTGCCTGTTTTGAAATAATTGTTTGGCCAGCACTTGTGTATCTGCTGTTGATGACTTACCTTGCTGATGAAAAGAAGTAGCCTTAGAACCAAGCTGCATTGTTTTTTGCCTTAATTTTTTCCCCCCAGTGCTACAGAAAGCTGTGGTGCTTTCTGTCCTCCAGCTTAATGCCCGTTTTCTCAACTGTACTTATTTGTCACACAAGTCAGTTACTAAGTTTATTGCAAACTAACTTACTTGTAAGCTCATGTAAAAAGCTTAAAAAAGACTGAGGAGATCAACATTTATATTATTAGTAGGTGCAAAAACTGCAGTAAAACTCCATAGGTTTTATCTGAATAAGTTGGTTTTAGTAACTGGAGAATTTTCCTACTTGTAAACATCTTTCTGGTTGAAAATAGTTTTTTGAAATGAGGAAAGAAGATAGAAGTCAGTGTGCTTGAGTTGGCTTTGTTGTTTCACTATTAGTTCTCAGGCTGGGCACTATGCAGCATCATGACATTGTACATGTAGAGTTTTTGGTCTTATGTGATAACACATGAAGTTAATATGCCATTTCGTTATAAAAAGAACTTTCACTTTAGCATGGTGATACAGAGAATCTAATCATAGAAGTGAATTATGAAGAGTTCTTTGATTTTTTTTTATTTTTTTTTTATTACCTCTGAATGTTTGTTTCATGATCCTTGGAAATTTCAATTGTGAAAGATCAAGCATGGGGCTTTCCAGTATGTGGATGCAGGCCAATAATTGGAAGATTGAAGCCTGCAATGTAGAAAAGGCAAAATTCCATACTTGCTGATGCTGCTAGTTAACAAGTTAATATGTGAACATCTGCTTTAATTTATAATGCTTGAGTCATCTGTATCTGTTGGCTTTTGTTTCATGTTTTGTTTCAGACATCTTTTGTTTTGTGTTTTTTTTTTTCTTATCCGTCTTTAATTCTAGAACAACCAGAGAATGGTAATGATGCTACTGAATTGGGCAACTTTGTCATACCCGAGATTAGTGTCACAAGTGTGGCTGGAGAGAGGACCGGGAATGGGGAAAAGAGCAGAGCACTAGCAGAGAATGATGTTCAGCATTTACAGGGAGTACAGGAAACAGCTACAGATCCTAGAACTGACAGCAAAGGCATGCCAGAAATCAGGAGGCAAAAATCTGTAAGAAAAATGATGGAGGATGGAATAAACTCATCTGGCAGAGTGCAGTTTTAGCAGAGCACTTGTAACTGCACTCTAAGGTACCACTGTTGATTGAAAGGGTCACTGCTGCATGTTTGGAGAATTAAAAGTATGCAGTTAATATATTTGCATGTGTAATAACACAAATGCATGTATTGCACACAGCTTCGTCTGTGCCACAGACAATGACGACACAAAAGTAGATACGTTTAATCTGAAGAAAATACATTGTGAGACTCAACATACCTTTGAGTTTATTAAGCATATTTATTGGGTTTACAAAATTCAGTGATCAATGGTGTGAAGAATCCATCAAAATGGATGTGAAAAGTATCTCACTGTGTACCTCAGATTTCCCAGATTCCACCTTTCACGGTATATGGGAGATCTCCTGTTGTGCTTGAGTTTCCAACTCATGCCACCAGACCTATGATGCAGAAGGTGACCTTTCATTCCTGAAGCATTCTTGGGATGCTAAAGGTGCAGGTGCCATATTGGGTGTCCTGGGGCATTGATCACATACCTTTATAATTAACAAGCGTTGCAAAATCATATATTGGAGCACTTGCTCAAAATAAGATTTAGATTTTTTTTTTTTTTTTTGTTCTGTGTGGTATTTTCTAATCTGTAAGGTTCTAATCTCCTGCATGAATTAACAAGACTGCTTTTTATTTTCCCCTTCAAAATCACTACAAAATGAGATTGTGGGCATGCTTTTTGATCTAGTTAATGCAGCATTACTTGCTGTAACTTTATATCCTAATGAACCTTAATTCCAAATTGTAATGGAATAGGTAAGTGTTTTGTCTTCTGTTTTCTGTTCTGTTGCTGTATGGCTTCATGCTTGTATATATCGAAATCTAGCAATACATAAAATCAATAAATGGGTTTAAGGTAATTGCTAATTCTTTATTTCTCTTTCTGCCACGCAGGTAATGCTGATTTAGCAATTCAAGAAGAACTGATAGAAGTATCTGAAACTGATGAAGGGTTTTACTCTAGGGCTACTTCTAGTACAAGTCAGTCTGCTCTATCTAACAGCAGCAACACGAGCAGTAAGAATCTTTTAGGGAAGAGCCAACGAAGGTCTGGAGGAAGCAAAGCTGGAGGAAAAGAAAAAGAAGGAGAAACCTGCAGAGAACACTTGTCACGAAAACAAACTCAGAGAGCCATGAGTGAGAATCTAGAGCTTGTCTCTCTGAAGAGACTGACACTGACAACTAGCCAGTCCCTGCCTAAGCCTGGCAGCCATAGTCTGGCCAGAACAACCACTACTGTGTTTAGTAAATCATTTGAACAGGTCAGTGGTGTCACAGTTCCAAATAATCGTGGTGGTGTATCTGGTACAGAGGCAAACAGGTTTTCAGCTTGCAGTCTTCAGGAGGAAAAACTGATGTATGGAACAGAAAGAACAGATCTTCCAATTTTAAGCAAACAACCTAATCAGCAGCGACCTCCCAGTATTAGCATAACTTTGTCAACAGATTGATATTGAAATGGCAAGTATGAAAAATAAGATATTGAGGGTTTATGCTGATATTGGTACATTATGCTCCTTAATATACTATATATTGCTTTCTTATCAAGCCCATAAATTCTTATTCGGCTAACATTTGATGGTAATAGTGGATAGATAACAGTTGTAATTATTTTGCATCAACTTCTAGTAGCTTGGAAAGTTCCTCTTTGTCTTGCTGTATTTATACACCTAATTGATTTTGAAGTTTACAGCTTCACCAGTCTAACGGGCATTGATTCGGTTGGTTAGCCACTGACCAAATGGGAGCAAATAGAGCCACTGCCCCAGATTCTGCTTTTTCACTACCATTTGATATAGGCAAAACTGCAAGTACTTGTTTTATTTAACAGGAGTCTTGCAGTATAGTATGGGCATGAAATTTTGGAACAGCATTGTAAGAACCATTCTCTTATGGTAACCTTACATGTAAGCACAGCTTTCTCATGGATAAAACTAGAAGCATCAGTTCAGTGTTTGACACTATGGCGGGTTTTGTAATGGTAGTTAGTATATGTTGCGATGTTCATACTTTTTTATGCCTACATGAGTCTGAATTATAGATGCATTTTGGTTTTTCTGTACGTCTTTGAACCAGGGCCAAAAGTCATACAGAAGCAGTACTTGTGGATGGGAGTTCTTACAAGTTGCTATAGTATCACACAATTTATAAGTCTAAAGAGTGACACAATCTGTCTGTCTTTCAGATTCTTAAATATCGGGCACAAAGCTACTCACCGAAAAGTCGTTGTCATCAGTTTTTTTATTATTTTTGGGGAAGAGATGTGCTTATGTCATGATGTTGTGTAGGAAATAAGGTATGAACCTCTTGTACTGACTCAAGCAAATCAGGAATGTGTTTAACATGAACTTGTTACTTGAGACTAAGAATATTACCAAAGGATGCGTACTTTCAATAACTTGCAAGCACAAAGGGAAATTATAATGTAAATATAACTAGCACTGTAATTCCTAGTCTTTTATATCTATTATTTTTCTAGTTTGAAATTCTAAAGCAGCAGCCTGTTCAAGGTTACCTCACCAAACTAACTGAAAGTTAAAGGTTACCTTGTTTAATACCAACTTCTAAAATATTAATATTTTAATTAAAAATGGACATTAAAACTTATTATGCAAAAACTTGAACAATAGCTGACAAAACCACTCCAGTAGCAGCAATTAGCTGATAAACAGATAATGTTTTATTATGAGTAGAGACATAGGATGAAGGCCTAAGGCAGTCATTCCCAACTGTCCAGGTTTCTGCAGCTAGTGATCCCTTATTGTGAAGAACCCTGTAACAGAGCAAACACTAAAATTCTGGTAGAATTTCCTATTTGCCTGGACATAAGTTTAGATATCCTTCTTCGACCTAAACTGAAGCACAAGTAACTTTTAATCAGATAATTGCTATAAACATGAATAACATTACTAAGCTGGTTAATTAACGTAAAGAGATCAGGAGACATAGTTGATAGGGACAAGTAAGTTGTATAATTCTGCTTCTAAGACTGCAGACTAGGTGTGTACGTATCTTAATACTCACCAAAGTATATGGAATAGCTGCATCAGTCTGTAGGTGTCTGTCTTCACCTAAGAGCCTGAGTTTAAATGGATGTGCCACACTTTTTTCATTCTCCAGTTTGTTGTGTGAAACTGTTTTATTCGAGTAATGCAGTATTTCACCTTTTTATAGTAAAGTGTTTTCTTAATTGTACATGAAAACTTACATTCCTAATGTATAAACTACAAGTTTGTCCTGTTTAGTGTTTAATACTTTGGCCAGTGAAATAAACTAGTTCTTTGAAGTCGTATGGTTTTGTAAATACATTGTACAGCTGAAAATTTTGCCTCTCTTTTTACAGGTTTTTCTGCAGTACATGTTAGACAGTACATTTGTTTCACATTGACTAATACACATGGCTGGTGGAGCATGCATAACCACAAGCAATAGAAGGATTTTAGGCAGGTGATAGCAGACGTTGGCTAGCACTACACATACTGAATGCAGAGCTCTTCCTTTGCTACAGATTTGTACTAGATATTACAAAGAAATAACTTGCAGAACTTAGAGTTGCTTCCTGATCTGCTCTGCAGTGCAGCATTTAAGAATACTTTGGAAACATTTTACGTTAATTTACATTGAAACATAAACCAGAATCGTTAAATTGTAGTTGACAAACGTTTGTTGTGATGGTATTAGTTGTGATGGTATTAGTTGTTAATGTTAAGTGACTAGATATTTTTTTTAAGTAATTCTACTGGTTTTGTTTTGTTTCATTTAGTTCATGATTGTTTATCTCCACAGTAGACACTCTTTCAAGCTGGGTGTTGGTATAAAAGATGTTTATTATACTGAGAAGATTTAGTCACTTTAGTTATAAATAATTAGAATTTCAAAGGATCTAAAATGCCATAAAATGTAGATATGTAACATAATGTTTACAGTACTGTTGGCTACAAGTCAGACAGTGTTAAATTGAAATTAGTTTATCCTTTTATTTTATCCAGCTAATTATTCAAACTGGTCTGGCTTGAACCCAAGACATAGGCTCATATTGATACAACTAAAATTACATAAATACGTTTTTGAGAAAATGATAAAAGGAAAGGTTCTTGGTTGTAAAGGTTGCTGTTCCTATACGTATATGGCTTCATATAAATAGGTATGTATTGGTCTCTGGAACAACTTTTACACAGTGAGCATGTTTTTGTGAACTGACATCACACCTTGATACTGATCAAGTCTAAAGAATTTATTTCCTTACTTGAGTAGTAAAGCTTTCAGTTGTGCTTCTTTCTTTTCTTAAAAATGGAAAAGAAAAACACCCACAACCCAAAAAACAGGATAGGGGAGAGGGAGAGCAGAATTATTTGTTGTCCAAATATTCATGGTGCAGGATTGGAGAGGAGGAGAAGGAAGGGGGGAAGGAAATGGATATTAATTCTTTGACAATATTTTTAAAATAAAACTTTTGGGTTTTCAGCATTATGTGATCACTTTAGACTGATGAATGAAAAATGTGTATTAAAGAATTAGAGGTCTAACAGCATAAGGAAAAGCTATTAAGACATCCCATATTGTAGTATACCTGTGAGTGGGTAGTTCTGGTGAATATTCTCCCAACATCATACATGGGTGCAGCATTCTTCAGGAAAAATGTTATGTAGGAACGAATCATCTCAAATTACATGAAGAGAAGTTTTAACGCTGACATTTATAACTGACCTTACTGCTTTAAATCAAAGGGCACTGTTTCCAGTGATGGCTTTGAACAGCAACACTTTCAAAACTCTGAAGCTGTGAAGAATTATTTTTGTTGTGAGAATATGTATCATTTGTGCAAAAAGCATATGGCCTCTAACCACTTGCTGTAAAGCTGCAGTGACTTTTCTGAAGGGAGTGAAATGTCCTTGAATTGCCTTGAATACCTGACAGGTTGGACAGGTACGGAAATATATAGCTATTTTAGTTACACTTCTCTCTAAGGGGGTCTATTCTGATTTCTATAAGGATTCTAGAAATTTCTAAATTATTATGTCTTGATATCTTTTGTCAGTGTTTGAGGCTTGCAGTGCTGTATATAGGTGTGTAATATATTGCTTTTTGTATTTATATAATTCTACTTTTAAGACTAGGTGTGTACACTTCTTAATATTCACCAAAGTCTGTGGAATAACTGCATCAGTCTACAGATGTCTGTCTTCACCTGAGAACCTGAGTTGAAATGAATGTGCCACGCTTTCTCATATTCCTTGGTTTCTCATGTGACACTGTTCTGTGTTTTAGTAACTCAGTATTTTGCTTTTTTTACAGTGAAGTGTTCTCGTAATTGTATATGAAAACTTACATTCCTAGTGTATAAATGACAAGGTTGTCTTGTTTAATGTTTAATAACTTGGGCAGTAAAATAAACTTTTTTGAAGTCATGTGATTTTGTAAATACTTTCTACAGCAGAATATTTTGTCTCTTTACAGGCTTTGTTGAAATATGCATTAGATAGTAATATATTTGTTTAGTTTTCATGATACACTTCTAGAAGTCTCAGTAAGGTTGATCATATTACTTAAAATATGCTGAATGCCCATTTTACATAGTGTAGGCTCTGCAGTCAGGTAAGACACCATGCCTAAACCAGTTGGTTGAGAAACACTGATTGACAGGTGAAAGGTGTGTTCAAGCAGGTGAGTTGTAAACTGGTTGTTGGCAGAAGCAGATGGGTGTCCTGTCAGTAATATAGTGCTGCTCGGGCAATTGGTAGTTTTGATGGTCTTGATGTAACAGTGGTCTGATACACAGCCATTATCTGCAATGTGTCATCATTAGTAGAACTTCTATCCAGCAATCTTCACTGTGTTTCTGTGACCTGCTGTTGGCCATCTTTGCTGCAAGGGCACGTGTGGCTGCTTCCTGTTCCCCTTGTTCATGAAGACCCTCGGGGCTTTTTCTGTAAAGCTGCTTCTCAGCTGCCTGGCCCCTGTGTGTGCGGGTGCCTGGGGTGGTTTGTCCCCAGAGGCAGGACTTGGTGTTGCCCTTTTAAACTTCCTGAGATTTACTGGTGGGCCCATGCCTCCTGCCTTTTGAAGTCCCTATGAATGGCAGCATCCCTCTGGGGTACCAGGCTCTCCTGGTTTTGTGTTGTCTTCAAACATGCTGAGGGTGAGCTCTGTACCATCACCCACTTTCTTTAATGAAGATGTTAAGCCATCCTGGCCTGAGTATTGACCCCTGGTGTACACAAGTGAAGCCAGGTCTCCAGCTGGGCTTTGTGCCACTGGTCACAGCCCTTTGAGCCTGACAATTGAGGCAGTTTTCTGCTCTGGGTGCTGCTCTTGCTGGTAACAACAGAAGCAAAGGCGGTGGTGAGTACCTTGGCCTTTTCCATATCTCCTGTCAGAAGGTCCTCTGCCCCACTCAGCTGTAGAGCCTTATTTTTCCCTTGTTTTCATGTCACTGATGATATCTCTGCTAAAGTTTTTCTTGTTGCCCTTCACCTCACTTGCCAGACTGCTTCGTTTGGGCTTTGGCTTTCTTAACCCCATCTGTGCATGCTTGGATAGTGCATCTATAATCTCCCAAAGTCCCCTGTTCTTGCTTCCGCCTCTTGTATGCTTCTCTTTTATGTCTAAGTGTAGTCAAGAGCTCCTCACTCATGCATCGAGGCCTCCTGCCACCTCTGCTTGATTTTCTGTGTGTTAGGATGGACCATTTTTGAGCCTGGAGGAGATGGTTCCTGAACATCAACCAGCTCTCCTGGGCCCTTTTCTCTAGGGTGGTCTCCTGTGGGCATCTACCGAGCAGATTCCCTGTACAAGGCAAGTCCTGTTCTTTTGTAGGTCCAGGGTTCAATGTTTCTTTCCTTTCTCCTTACAAATATAGTCTCTGGTGCAATGCTGTAGAGAAACCTCGATGAATGGAAATGCTGTAGCAGATGGCAGCAGTGGGAGATCTCACTGTGCATTTTTTTCATCTCTTTCAAATGTCAGTCTTTAACCTGTTCTTTTGAATGGGCAAAACTCAAATTTCCCTTCATGTGAATTTGAATACCACCACCCCTTCCCAAAATGTAGTACAGAGTACAAAAGAAAGTAATGGGACCCCAAAACAGCCCTTAATGGAGGATGGGAGTACCTGAGAGCCTGCTGGCCATTTGGCAGCGAGAGGAATGTTTGAAGGTAATACAACAAATTAGTAGCCAGTTTACAGAAATTACATGTTTCCACAGACTTCGCAGCTAGTTGCATGCACTGAGCCTGTAATAATTTTTAATGCTTTATGTTAATCTAGCTCTGTATTAATGATGATTTCAGTATGGGGGTTTTCTCCCAACCCTCAGCTGCCAGGTAATAAATGAATCTGCTAATTTAGGATAGTGGGAAAAATGTCACTGTGACTCCAGAAACCTTTGTGAAACAAACCTTTACATTACACGGTGCTTGCTTCATTAACTTTATTCCCAAAATGAGGTTGTGTTTAATCATCTGTAACTCTAAATGTGCTGGGACAATACTGAAATTTAATGGTGCAGAAAGACTTGTGTAAGTTGGTCTGAGTCATACTGTACTGACAAGCTGCCTAGTTGTTGTTCTCATTGTTAATGCTGACTAATACTGGCAGTCCTCTATGTAGAATTTCTTGGTCTGGACTACGATGGTAGGTTTTTCTAGTGGGAGAGGGTGAATTTCAGAGGAGGTGAGCAGAAATACCGGCTTTTACCTCTACACCATACAGCAAAGTAAATGAAGGAGTGTGTGGTCTTGGCACAGAAAGTCTTTAGTGTGTATACGATTTAATGATGTGTCTGCAATCCAAATAGTGAACCAAAATAAAAAAACATTCAGTGTTTTCTCTGAAAAGATGCTTTGCTCATGCGTGCAACTTGAGTATCATCTTTGATTCCTGTCAAAGTGGGATCAGAACAGTGACTCATTTAAAACATACATAAAAAAACATGTTACATACATGTGTGTATACACATTTATACATATATATGGTTTTGTCTTCAGCTATTCAAGGTATGGAGGTTGTAGAACTGCTGGGGAGACTATTGGAGCTGGCAAAGACTTGTACCAGCATTGCTGTCAATGACCTATGATACCATCGAAAATAAATGGAGCTAGGCAATAAAATCTGTACTGTCACTGGTGTATTTTCCTTGTGGCTTTATGTGCTAAGAGTAAATTGATTTGAATATAAATGGTAAAGGATCTTGCACTTATTCCCTAAACATTTTTTTAAATTACAATATTTTTGTTTGATTTTTTTGTTGTTGTTAAAATGCATGGTGGTTTCATTATTGTTAATAACCTGCAGATCAGACTTTGCTAATAATTCAGATTAATTAATTTGGGCTAACATCATATACAATAACACTTTAGAATCAAGTGTGAGCCAAATGTCAGCTTTCAGCAGTCCTGCTCCTAAAATGGTGTTTGATAAATCTGCTATAATAAATCACAAAAGGGAAAGACTTTTGCAAGGTAACAGCATTGATATTCCCCAGAACATGAGTTACTTTTTACTTCATTGGGAAATCTCATTCCTCATTTCAGCCATTAAAAAAAACCCACCCAACTGCTGTTTAGCGAAGGATTTCAGCTCTCCCTGTACTGACTGGAGAGAAGACACAGGCACTGTCAGACTGATTCAGCACGTCTTGAGAGAGGGAGATACTCTCTGACACCCAAAAAGTGTTCATCCCATCTCCTTCTCATCCTGAACCACTTTGGCTTAGCATTGCTGCCTCGTTACTGCTTCCTACTGAACTGAATCCGTACATCCCCCTGCTTGCTGCATAAAGACAAAATAAGCTTTAGCATAGCATCAGTCACTTCAGCATAGCTCCAGATGTCAGCAGCTGTCCTATTTTAACTGAAGGCCTTACAAGCAGGCAGATGTCTAGGAAGCATAGATCTGGTTTAGTAATTCTGCTGGCCAGGATATAAGGATCAGCTTGAAATAACGTGGACAGATGCTGGGAGTTAAGATTCAGACTGCCTCTGTTTGGATTGTTTGAGTAATTATGAAGTAGTTGCAATTCTGAATGTCTAAAGCAGGGAAGGAGGAAAGAACTGGAGCACAAATCTTTCTATAGCAGTCCTGCTTCTGCCATTCTTGCTTCAGGATCCCACTTAGAAGTGTGTAATAGCTTTATCAGCTTCTGCATTTAAACAGAATAGCAGGAAGGCTGTTAAAGCTTCCTTACAACTGAATGATAACTGTTCGGCTCTAGCTGAATCCTCTGACAAATCTGAGGCTTTGTTCTTAACTGTTCAGCCTGGGAAGGAGCTTCTCAATTGTCTTGCGTGTCTCATCAAATTCATAACTTTAAGCTGCTTTGGTGATCTGCCAGAACTTACTTATTCTTTCCTGCTACCAGCGTAGGAAGCCACGCTACAAAAGCATTGCCCTTGTTTTAGGTGTTCAAGTCTTCCCAAGCTCAGAGAAGGGCTGAGGAGAGATTTTTATCACTTCTTCAGTCTTTGCCCAAGACAGGCTTCCTGACCAACACCAGATGTGTTATAAGGCTGCCAGCCTTGTGCTGAGGCATTCACACAACAGCCAGTCCTACGTGTGGCCATAGGAGCGAGGACAGAGGCCAGGGCCAACTGGAGATCTTTTCAGATACTCGGCCTTTGTGTGGGCAGACCTCTGTGCTGTGGAATGGCAGGAGGCTGGATGCACCTCCCAAACAGCCAGCGGGAGAGACAGTTTCAGAAGTCTCGACTGGATATTGCACTGAGCCCACGGAGCGCTTCAGCTGCCACTTTCCTGAACTGCTGTGATCCAGGTTTTTAACAGATTAGTTCACTGCTTTGGCATCATTACCCAAAATAAAATGTGCTTATGGACAAATAACAAAGAAGAAGAAACTACTGAGCAATGGTTTTCTCCAAGATTCCACACTGCGTTGTCCATCTTTTGTGAAGCCTGGCATGCATGATCCATACTGCAGCATGATCTGCGTGCTCCGTTCTCGATAACTGACAGTGTTTTTGTACCTTAGGAACAGTATGGGATGATTGCGAGCATGAAGAGTTTTGACGCATTCTGGTAATGGTGAGATGAGTAACTTGTTAAATATGCCAACAAAATTAGTTACTAGGTAGATCCACTTACAAGGTATTTGATGCCATAATTTAATTTCAGGCAGAAAAGCAGTGCCTTGGAAGAATCTGTATTCAATCTTGAGATACTGAGCAGCTTTAATGTGCCTTGACATTCAGTATGGCATTCATAATCCCTGTAATTATTCCTTCCTACTCTAATAAGAGCAGGCACTGTACAGCACAAGTACTGAGGGTTAGTTTTGTTTCATGCTTGAAAGGAGGAACACATCATATAAAGCACACTTTGTACTGAGCTGTGGGAAAAGAGGTGAATGGGAGGCTAAACCAGAAGCTTTAAAAGCAGTTCAAAATGTCTA